GAACTTTACCACCAAAAATAAGAATGGTTTGACTATTACTTTCATATGATGATACTTTATTATATGATATAGTTTATTATTTAATAATTTAGCTAGTAATATATATACTATACTAGTTATATAACATATCATTATTCATTATTACAACCTAAATATTTTCGCTATAGGAAATTCCAAGAATCCAGAACGATGTGTCTATCCAGAACTTACGATGGATCGCCTCAAATGCAGCCTATAGGAGTACCTTTACTGGAACTAACCTACGAAGCACCATTAAGGAAGATGAAATATCTGAGCATGAGCAATATAATGATATAATAAGTTTTAAATACATTTCAATTATATTTTGATAAATAACTTTAAGGCAAATTAAAGTTGTCTGTGCCTAATATTCTTAGTACTATACAATTATTATTTATTATTACAAGTCATTTTTTTCCATTATAGGAGGTTTCAAGTTTTTTACCCTGAACATCATTCTTGTTTATCAATTATCCTGAGTATCTTAAGTTCAATCCTTGCAGTGAACCACTTCCAACGCAGACTTTAGGAGTACCTTTAACTGGACCTTTTACAGTTCCATAGTTACCATTTCACACCTATTGATGATATAGATTTGAAACAATCTGTCGACAACTTGAATAAGTAATAAGGAAGATGAAACATCTGAGAATGAATATTATAATGATGTAAAAAGCAAGTTGCCTTTGTATCTTTGAGAAGAAGTGAAACGACAGTGTAAATGTTTAAAGACTAGCTTTAGTTACATATGATATTCTTTGTATTGTCTTTTATATCAAATCAAGTCAAGTACTTCATGTAAATGGTCTTTATAGAAATGTGCTATGCAATGCAATATATGTCCATTTATTTATTTAGATTTAAAATGTAATTGATAGTAATCAAGTTAATGTTTATTAATTTATTAGTAATAATTATGTTCTGGCAATTAAATTGTATTTGAGTCTTCAATAACTGCATAAATTATTATTGTATTATAAAAGCTTATGGTATATAATTTATATTTTCAGCTCGTTTTAAGTACGAAATTGAAATCAAATATTTATTAATGAGCTAAAATAATAAACAATTTTAACCGGAAAAAAATTATTTTTCAAGCAAATTTATTAACTTTGAACAAATATACTTCATAATTTTTGTAGATTAAATTTCCTGTTTGAATTTCGCGCTTTAAATTGTACAAGATTGGGGCAGCGGTCAATTAGCTAACTTCAATTGCTTCAAATGTCAAGAGATTTTTGTGAATGAACTTAATCTCGCGTTAATTAAGAGTTTTTAATTAAATCCTTGATTAGTTTTAATTAAATTGTGCATAAAATCGTTTAATTAAATCTGTAGATCAATCTGACATAAAAAATATATCGTGCAACATTTGTAAAAAGTTAAAAAAATGGATATGTGTGGAAATGCATATGTGTACCTTGAATAGTAATAATTATCTCTTTCAGGACCCCCATATCGAATCAATATTATAATTAAACCTTTTACTTTCAGTGCTGATGTATCCTTTATCTATATATATGCAATTAGCAATTGTTTAATTTATATATGAATGTGTATACTTTTGTAGGTTATGGTAGCACATTTCCACATATCTATTTATTCAATTTTAAGTTCACAAAAGTCTCTAATGTAAGTCGTGTCTTTTGTGCTTCGTAGAGAATTTACTCGGACAATTGTAAAATGTCAAATAGACTTGTAAAAGACAAAGTTATGTAGTGGTTCTAAAGTAGTGATATTGTGTCGAGTACTTGAGATTTCTGGCAGATGCTCCAGAGGTGGTTCCAGTAATGACCCAATGTTTTGGGAGCTGCTGCAGAGGATATTTAACAATGTAAGTGCAAAGCATGTTTTTTACATAGCGAGTCAAAGAATATTTTTCTAGAATTATATACAGGTATTTATCGTACTATATCTGTTGCACCTATAGTGTTTTCAATATTCAATATTTAACTTATATATATATATATATATATATATATATACATATATATATATTAAGTTTTTCTTAATTTTGAATTTAAAGCAGTCAAATGATTTTGAAAATCTTTACTTCAACACAATATTGTTTGTCATCTTTAGTGAAACTATAATTCAATAAAAATTCATAAAAAGATATTACTTTTAATTTATGTTCTGAAAGAAGTTTACAATTATTGACCGAGTTTGTGTTACATGCTACTTTTTATGTTTGTAACAATAATATTTCTTATTTATTATGTATTTAATGCTTGTTTTTCATATTAAATGAAATTAATAAATGAAAATTAGTTTGAAAGTGCCTCGAGAACTTGTCACTTTGTTATTCAATATCATTTATAAAGCAGTCTGTATATATTTTAGTGGAATATTTTCTGACTCGTGCATTATTAATATACACCTAAGTCTGTTTTTACACGGTCTTTTTGTACACGGTTTTGATATAACACGGTTTGAAAATTGAATATTTTCAATTTTTTTACACGATTTTATTCCATTTAGCACGATTTGAAATTTTATGTACTTAAATTTATTTGTCAAATTTAATTTTTGCGAAGTATGTTCATATCACAAAAAAGTATTTATGAAAGAAAAAAGTCTGACAGTATCGATAGTTTGCGAACACTAGCGTAAAGATTTAAGTGAATTCCCCTTTAGCGCGTACAAACAATTTTTACTGGTCAAAGCAAATGTTTAGATAAACATGAATTCTTGTTCTTAAAAATTCTTGTTTTTCACTAATTTTAATAGGTTTTAGAGATTAGGAACAAATCACCCATTTTTGTATAAGATCAATGTCTTTTTTACACGTTTTTTTTTTACACGGCTTCTTCTGGAACCAATCTACCGTGTAAAAACAGACTTAGGTGTAATTATATACATATATCTGCTGAAAATATAGTTTATATCATAATATACAAGTCAATATCATTTTTTACATAGTATACCTTATACAATCTATTTTTTGTTCGCACAACAACTATTGTGCGAATAAAAGATTTTAAATTTATTTGGCAGACATATGTATGAAAAACTAGGTTCTTATTTAATTTGTTATGGGGAAAACATGTTGATTCAGTTTTTTTATTTATTTATTCAAGTGCATTTTATACTTGTTTTAAATATATATAAAAGAGAAAAGTTTCTATTTCTCTTATGTATCAAAGATGCTGAATAATCATAATAATATTCCACCAGAGATTCTTTTGCTCTATAAATAACACTATGAACTGATTTTGTGTGGAATTCAGAATTTTTATAAGAATATTAAATTTTTGCTACCAAATTATTAGTTAACTAATACAGCTTTTTGTGGGCATCGATTACTTTTTTGCTGAAGGGGTCCTAGCATCCTTCCTTAGGTAACTCCTAAATTGATGGTATTTTGTTACAAATTACAAATATACTTTGTTACAAAAATCTCTTTTTTATCACACTTGTTCATTATTATACAGAAAAAATATTTGTATTTGTATTTGACATTTCCAGTATCAAGAATCATGTGTTTTCCCTGTAGCGACATTGTCTGCATGTACATTCTTATTTATGGATAACACGATTGTTGGTTTTGATCAAAATATTTCAAATACTCAATACAACTTACCAAATTGTTAATTAAATGCAGCTTTTAAAAGTCTTTTACTGTAGTTTAATTTTAAATTTATTCAATTATATTGCTGCATAGCTAAATGATAGATTTTTATTCTTTTATTGATAAAAACAATTTGATCAAGACATGCAATCAAAGTTTCAAAGAGTTGACTTGAATGATTAGACAAAACATAATTTTGTTAAGAAGTTTATTATTCGATTCAAGTTGTAAAAATTATTTAACTCAATTTCTAAAGGATAACAATCAGATTTAAACAGTTTTGAAGTAGTTAATGTTCACATTTGAATTTTTTTTATTATTTCATTTTACAAGTTTTATTGAATTTCTTTTATAGCTTTTTCTAATAATTTGTATATTATTCAAGTCAACTACATTTGTTTTTGTCTCGATTAATTGTAAAGGTTTCACATGTTTTATCAAGTCGTATAAACGATTTTAATTCGATTAATATGATTTCATTTCATCGATTGATTAAATAATTCTCTCGAATAATTTTTTTTTTTTTATAAGTCCAAATTTTTTGATTATAATTCTTTCGAATAATTTTTTTTTTAAGTCCTTTCAGATATATTTTTTTTCTAAGTCCAAATTTTCTGATTATAATTCTTTCGAATAATTTTTATTTTCTAAGTTCTTTCAGATAATTTTTTTTTCTAAGTCCAAATTTTCTGAAACCTTTTCAATTAAGACAGACGAGTTATTTATGCATGCTGTATTATCCCAAAGCCAACATTCGAATGAATGAGGCTCACATTGAATATTTCACAACGAGAAAATTTTATTGGGACAAAGTTAAAAATTTTAACTAAGTCCCAGTAATTTTTTCTCGTTGTGAAAATTTCAACGTTGACCTCATTTCATTCGAGTGTTGGCTTTGGGAATTGGTGTGAGGGAACACTAAAAAACATAAAAAAGTTTCAGCATTGAACAGAAAAGAGAAAAATTCATCTGGGACTTAGGGGGTTTTTTTAGGTTCCTCCACCTCCCCTTCCCCTCCTCCTTCCCCTTTTTTTCCCATTTTTTTCCTTTTTTTTTCATTTTTTTTCATTTTTTTTCATTTTTTTTCATGTTGTGGTTTTTCGGTAGATTTTTGGATTCGGCATGCATCTTCCGCAATGTGTCTCCCTGCGTGTAACCTCTCGCATCATGGACCTCAGGTTGACCATCACTTGGTGTGTTCGTTTCAGGACCCTTTGCGCTCGCCAACAGCCATTCACCAGCACTGCTCCATTTTTTCTGCTTCCGAGTTGGTCGTCGTCGCCTTCAGCTGGATTCGATCCGTCTCACCTTGTGCCTGCCTCCAGAGCGATTTCACCGAGTATGCGGTCACTTAAACCGCTCGGCTATTTAAGTTATTGATGATAAAAGTTATTTTTATTCCTATATTGTATTAATATTGAATTTTAATAAAGAATATGTATCATACACATCTCTCTTATTCATCATCTGCCTCTACCCCTCTCTTTCCCCAGTTCTTCCTCTTTTTTTTTTTTTTTCTTTATGTATCTCTCTTACAGTCAAGTGCGAAACTTGAGTTTTTCAGAAATTTACTAAGTGTCAAGGTCGAAATGCGACACCTGAATTTAATATTTTGAACTAATATTTGATATTTATGAAAAACTATACATTCGAATTTTCAAGCATCTTGGGGATTTGAACCGAGAAACAATGAGCAACCGTAGTGGCAACTTAACGATCTCGGCCAATTGGTTATGAAGAACCGTCCTCTATTTTTAAAAATATAAAGTCTTATTTTGATAATGAAAGATATAAGCTTCCTAAAAAAGTTGTGTGCCAATTGTGCGAATGGCCGAGGTCGTAAAGATACGGTCGGTTTAGGACAGAATAATAATTCGAGGTTCGCTAGATCGAACCCACTTATCTGAAAAAAAAATTAAATTCAATAATTTTTCTAACTGTGTAAATAAATAAGATATATAGATAAATAATTAAATTTATTGAGTGCTGCCAGTATTACAAAAATTGACATAATATACATGTGCATATATATAAATATAAATGTATATATATATATATATATATATATATATATATATATATAATATATATAAATATAAAAAAAAATAATAGGAAGAGGATAATTTTTAATAAATTCATATTCACGCCTGGTTAGCAGTAAACCAAACCTACTTTGGTGTAATTTAAAAATCTTTTTTTTTCGATGAAAAACCGGTCTATCAGGGGCAGCCAAAATTGGTCAAAATCATGACTTTCAAATGCAATTTTAAGGCCCTTAATGAATGAAATTGATAATTTTAATGAATGCATTGTGTAGACTAAAGTACAATCTTTATACCAAACAAAAAATTACAAATTTATCGTCGTCTTCATAGTTAAAATCAGCTTCAAAGTTGGCCATTTTTCAAACTTCAAATTGGTAACAAATGCAGAAGAATTTTTTTTTCCAAAAACTGATTTCATATTCGGTATCAGCGCCTCGAAAACTATCAGAGTCGGTCAAAACATTTTGAAAATCGCGAAAAAAAATTTTCATTTCATTAGTAAAATTTTGATTTTGCAACCAAAGATTTCGATTTTTCAGGGGGTGTATGTGGGTTTATCCAAAAACGGATAATATTTTCAAAATCAGCGTCCCAAAATCAATCAAAACCAATCAAAACATTTTGAAAATCGCGAAAAAAAAACGATTTTTTTTAAAAAAATCGATTTTGCAACCAAAGATTTCGATTTTTTGCGGGGTGTATGTGGGTTTATCCAAAAACGGATAGCATTTTTGAAATCAGCGTCCTAAAATCTTTTGGAATCAGTCAAAACATTTCGAAAATTGCGAAAACAAATCTATTTTTTTGCTAAAATTACGATGTTGCACACAAAGTTTTCGTTGTTTGGTTGATGATACACGTTCTGAAAGTTCATCAAACAGGATAATTTTGTCCTTTCTATCAAAAAGACTTTGTCCAATTAGTGGTTGTAAGGTTCCTCTTAAGGCATTCTTATAAGTCATAGGCACCTGTAATAAGAATCGAAATTTATTCTAAGGATATGCATCTAAAATAGGATCATTTCCAAAGTTTAGAAAATGCATAGGCAATCCATGAATTAAACTTCAAATGAATTTGTAGAATACATCATTTATTATGATCGAATAATTTGGTAAAAGTTTAAAAAAGCATGAATAGCAGTCTATGTTTGTAATATGGTTTAGTAGTTATAAATCTAAATTTTATCTATTTTTTTCTAATATTGATAAATTGAAATGCCTAGAACAAAATTTTCAAGTTGTTTGATAAAATGTACACAGACACAAATTCGCGTTTCAGTTAAAAATTATACGAAATTTTAGTATCCAAATATATATACTAGTTTGCACTAAATTTCAGTAAGTTTTTAATAAGTAATTTTAGTAATTTTAGTAATATTTATACCAAACCAAAAAATATACAGATTTATCATCGTCTTCATAGTTAAAATCAGCTTCAAAGTTGGTAATTTTTCAAACTTCAAGTTGGTCGTAGAGGTAGAAGGAATTTTTGTTTTCAAAAACTGATTTCAGATTCGGAAACAGCGACTCGAAAACTATCAGAATAGATCAAAACATTTGAAAAATCGCGAAAAAAAAATGTTCATTTCATTAGTAAAATTTTGATTTTGCAAACAAAGATTTCGATTTTTCGCAGAGGTATGTATATTTATTTAAAAATGGATTACATTTTCGAATTCAGCGTCTCAAAATCTATTAAAAAAAATCAAAACATTTTAAAAATCGCGAAAAAAAACTCGATTTTTGGGAAAAAAATCGATATTGCAGCCAAAGATTCCGATTTTTCGCAGTGTATGTGGATTTATCCAAAAACGGATAGAATTTTTAAAATCAGCGTCTCAAAATCTTTTGAAATCAGTCAAAACATTTCGAAAATTTCGTTAGTTATTTAGTTTTGCAGTGGTACTCGCCCTGAAAGCTCATCAAACAGGATAATTTCGTCCTTCTCATCAAAAAGACTTTGTCCAATTAGTTGTTGATTATATTTTTCCTCTATTATAGGGGAGACCCAGGATTTATGGTTCCTTGTAAGGCATTCTTTCATGCTTTTTTTAAAACTCAATTTGAATAAATATCAAGTTCAAATCATGGACTATATCTATCCACGGATTTTTTAACAAAGTTTTTGCCGTTTTATTTATATGAAATATTCAAAGATATCACGGGTTTTTATTACTTTTTTAAACACATTTCACTTCATTTGAATATAATAAATATCAAGTTAAAATCATGGACTGCCATTCACGCTTTTTTTAAAACATATATTACTCAATTTGAATATAATAAATATGAAATTAAAACCATGAACTGCATGTTGCAACCCAAAACTCCGAGTTTGCGCAGAGGTATGTGCATTTATTTAGAAACAAATAGTATTTTTAAACTCAACGCCCCAAAATATATACAAATCAGTTAAAACATCAAAAAATTGCGAAAAAACTTGATTTTTTCGAAAACAATTCGATGTTGCAACCAAAGATTTTGATATTCTTCTCATGTATCGGAGTTTATCCAAAAAACGGACAGCCTTTTCGAAATCAACGTCCCAAAATCTATTAAAATCAGTCAAAACGTTTTAAAAATCGCGAAAACAAATCCATTTTTTGACAAAATTTCGATGTTGCAACCAAAACAATTTCATTGTTTTACAGTGATATATCCCTGAAAGCTCATCACTCGTGGTAATTTTGTCCATTCATTAAAAAGTCCAATGAGTTCCTGATTCTATTTTAAAAAAAACATGAACTTACTGTTCATGAAAATAAACCATAGATATGTCTTTGAAAGTATGAAAAAATTAAAACGGCAAAAAATCATCAAAATAAACCAAGGATATATCTTTGATTTTTTTTTTCTCAATGAAAACCATTCATAAACTCATTTCTTTGGATAAAGACCCCTGATCTTAGCCCTCCAAATAATCCGAGAAAAAAAAGATTATTGATCCAGAATAATGTCGCATTGGTATGAACTACGAAAATATTAAAAAAAAATCACAATATATCTATAAAAAGGAATTTTAATTTTTTTTTATATTCTCGATTTTTTTATAAAAATTAAAAATCTAAATTGAGGGAAGAGCAAAGTTTATACTGTATAGAAAGACTAGTGTATTTGAAAATAAGAGCATAACTGTTTTGTTCTTTAATGGTTACTGTATTTAGGGTATACGTATACCGAAATAAAGGATATAAGTGAGAAGCTTGTTACTTTGTTGCGGATCCAAAAAGATTGATCAAATAGAATTTTTCAATAAACTTTCTAAAGTCTAAACGCATTAAATGGAAAAACCACAATTATATGCTCGTCTATATGCTTTCAAAATAAAAATAATTTAATTTTGAAAGCATACACTATCAATTCGTAATAATATGTTGTCATTTTCAATAAGTTTAACTATAGTTGTGAATATAAATTGGTGAATTAATTAATATCTCTAGCCAACTTTTCTTTAGTGCCTCTAATGTGTGAACTTGCTTAAGATAATCACGAAATTGTAAACTTCTCTCTCTTAATGTGTAAATTTAGCAGTACAACTTAATGCTTAGCGGTTACCTTTAAAACAAAATTGAATAATCCTGCCTTTAAACACCAGTTATGTGGCCAAGTGGTAAAGCGCTCGGTTTGCAAACTCATATGCACTCGGATCGAATCCCCTAAGCGTCTGTGCATTAGCTTACGAATCCGGTAACAATAATAAAAGTAAAACTCACATGAAATTCAAAATCCTCAGGAAAGTACGAGCGACCAGCATCAACACCTTGAGCTGCCTCGTTAGCCAGTTACAGGATCACACTGTTCATTTGTACACTGATATAAAATGATGATGTACTGTCCGTTTTTGAATTTTCCAACAAAACTAAGATTACCACGAATGTTGTACCGTTATTCTACCTCATACTGCCGACATCTGTGGGGTAAATAAAAGTTAAATTTTCTAAAATAAAACTAGTGATATGAATTCATACGCAAAAATTGCAGATAAGCATTAAAACACTAAAATTTCGAAAACTCTCAAAAAAAATTGATACAATGACATAAATAGATTTAGATAGGAAAACTAATTATTTTCAGAAAGGACCCTAGAGAGTGAAAATGGTCATGAGAATAATCATTCAATTTCAAGTTTAAAAAGAGAACCTTCATCAAATATAATGGCCCAAAAGAGGGTCTTAACTTTTGTAGTCGGTGAAGACATTTTTGAGTAACTTCTTGTAGTATATTCAAGAAATAACTGATAATTTGGATGCAGAACAGATAGAAATTATATCAGAACTACAAAGGATTATAAAAACAAGTAAACACCCAGTTTAATTATTTCAATTAAAAAATTAAATTTATATTATTAATTATAATTATAAATTTATATTATTATAAATTATATAAATTTATATTATTAATTATAATTATAAATGTATTTATCATATCAAATCGTTTACGGCAACGTAAATGCGCATTCAAATATTCCGCCATACATTATTTAATAATCCTGTTCATTCATTTAACATTATTATGTTGCCTACTGTTTAGCTGTTTGAAGTAATGCATTTATTATACTGCCATCTGACAGAGTTGATTTTTTGACGTAAGAAACAATAATAAATAATATATAATGTCGTCCCCTAGACCAAAATCACCAAGAACCCCAAATTCTGCTAAAAAAGAAGACAAAGAAGAAACTTTTTGGGATAAAATTGGCACTTTAGGACGCAGAAAACGCATAAAAGAAGGTTTGTTCTAAATCATGCCAAGGTCTTGTGCATTTCATATGGATTTCCTTTTATGGTCATATACATTTATCAATAATTTAAGGTGTGGCATTCTAAAATTTATAGAATATTAGATTTTTTAGTTGAAACTACTATTTCTTATCATTGCAGTAATAAAATCATTCAGAATCATATCATTTTTATACTTAATTCTAGTACAAGAAGTTCAAGCTGAAGGCAAATATGCAATCGATGCACCTGGAAGTCCGAATATTCCTGAGATACCTCCAGAAGAGTATGCACTTGGTAAAAAAATATCTAATCTATACTTCGTTTATTATTTATTTATTATAAACTTTTTCCATTTGGTTTTCTAACAGAGGACAATGAAGAAAGATCCATTATACAGCCTCAATCATTACAAGATCCACGGGTCAAAGAATTAATACAAGTTCTTGTTGATTGGATAAATGACGAACTAGCTGACCAAAGAATCATAGTAAAAGACATTGTTGAAGATTTATATGATGGACAGGTTATAAATGATTTTATAAAATGTAATGAAGTCTAATTTATTAATGTAATTGAGTAATTTTGTACAGGTTTTGCAAAAATTATTGGAAAAGTTAACAGGACGAAAGCTGGATCTACCAGAAGTCACACAATCTGAAACTGGACAAAGACAGAAGTTGGACACTGTATTGGCTGACTGCAACACGGTATTTAAAATAAATGATAAAATAAATCTGATTAGTTTTGGTATAAACGCACAAGTAAATATGGTATTGTTTGATCATATTTAGGCCTTGGGTCATCCTAGATGGTCAACACAAAAATGGAGTGTGGATTCAATTCATTCAAAGAATCTTGTATCGATTTTACATTTACTTGTAGCCTTGGCACGCCATTTTAGAGCTCCTATTCGTTTACCAGAATGCGTCAGTGTTACTGTAATTGTTGTACAGAAGAATGGACAAATGCTTAATCACAAGTAATTATGATAATAATATTTAAATCAATTACCTTAATTGAATACTTGTGCTGATATTTTAAATATCAAAAATGTATTGGTGCAAATTTTTTAATTTAGAATGATACAAGAAGAAATTACAACACGATATGATGATTTGGGGATGCGCTGTGAGAAAGATGCATTTGATACATTGTTTGATCATGCTCCTGAGAAATTGGAGATTGTGAAGAAGGTAAAAGCTATTTTCAAACATGATAAATTTTGATTTTATTTCAACATAAAATCATTACATTTCAGAGTCTTATTACTTTTGTTAATAAACAATTAATGAAAGTTAATCTAGAGGTAAATCAGCTAGAAACACAATTTGTGATGGTGTTTATCTTTGCCTGCTAATGGGACTTCTAGAAGGATTTTTCATTCCTTTATATGATTTTCATTTAACACCTCAAGATCATGATCAAAAAGTTCATAATGTAGCTTTTGCTTTTGATTTGATGCAAGAATGTGGTTTGCCACGGTGCAAAGCCAGACCAGAAGGTTTGTTGATAATATATAAAGAATTTAATATAAAAAGTTTTAATATTACTAATATATTTAATTTTAGATATTGTAAACGCTGATTTGAAGTCAACATTAAGAGTGCTTTATACATTATTTACAACATACAAGAATTCATCTTAAAAATAAGTATTCAATTGTGACTTGCTTTTGCATTAGTTTTTTAAATGATAGAAGCTTTAGTAATTTAGCAAAAAGCTAACAGTCACAGAAGATGTATACACATGAATATATATATATTTATAAAAAAAATAATGTATGTAATTATAATAAGTATTTTAACATTATAAAACACCATAAGATTCTCTATAAGCTCCTACTTATATTATTTATAAACAATATAAATAACAGTTATAGTTATACAGATACGTAACATATATTTATAAATATTTGATGTGCCTTGCTCGTCATTGTTCAATATATACTCCAAAACTTACTTATAATGACGTGCCAAGACCATGAAATATGGAAAATGAACTTACCAGCACTGAAATCATGGATGGAACTGGTTTCATGGCGTCCTATCAGTCTGCGTTCATTGTCACATTCTCCTTTAGGATCATAGGCTTGGATGTGTCTAAAGTAGCATTTTGAAAACTTGTCAATGGCTTTTTTGATTTCACTGAGGAGATAAATATTTTATTATTTAAACAATATTAATCTCTTTAAGCTAACAGTCACAGATGATGTATACACATCCCTATATATATTTATAAAACAAATAATGTATGTGATTATAATAAGTATTTTAACATTATAAAACACCATAAGATTCTCTATGAGCTCCTACTTATATTATTTATAAACAATATAAATAACAGTTATAGTTATACAGATATGTAACATATATATTTATAAATATTTGATGTGCCTTGATATTACGCCTTTAATAAAACTTAACATTATTAATTATCTTTTGTTATGCAAATTACCTTTAATAATACTGTATATTTTATTGTTAACAATCACTAAGAATATTGTTGTAAATTTATTATATGATTAAAAATTTGTTCAATATCATTCTCATTTTCAATAACACAGAAATTTCTAAAAAAGTACAAATCGGATAAAAGTTTAACACGTTTGAAGTATTCCTTATCACTTATATTCTTCTTACAAGCAGTTATTAAGTAGCTTGACTTTTTTGTTCTCTTAGCACAAGTTGTGGCTGCGCACAAGAGAGCTGCACAAATAAGAGCAGCTTTATGTGCACTAAAATCTGCTTCATTGAGTTTGCAATAATAATCAAGAACATCGATTATAATAACATTTGGAACAAAAGAACTGTCATGAAGCGCTACACATTGGGATAGTAATTCATGAGCACTCTCAAAATACCTTAAAATAAGTATGATTGAAATAGTGAAACAGATGTTTATATAAATTTATTACTTACATGAAAATTATTCGCTTCATGGTCTCCTTGACTAAATTCTTTTTCAGCATATTTGGTATGGAGGAAATAGGAGCATTGGAAATATATAAAATGTTGTAACCGTTCTCAGCCCAGTGCAAAGCAAACTAAAAATATATCAAGTCATTAATAAGATAATTATAATCATGAACATAAATTAATGAATATAAAGTAGAACCTTTAATAATAAATTTTTATTGAGCTGATATTCTCCACATATTAACACAGAAGAAATATTTTTAGGTTCCATAGGTTAAAAATTAGGATTTTAAATAAATTAATGAAAATTAATTAAAACATGTATTTATTAAAAAGATAGACAAACATTTTTAAATAACACAATTTTTTGACATAACTGCCACAAGAACTAGGTTTTTGTTTTTCTCAGGTTTCTGCACCTGCAAAGTGCAAATTGTCATTGACATTTGACATTTGACAGTAGATCCAATTTTCTTCCAAGATCTCCATTCGATTACTATTAATATTAACAAATTATTGAAATACTATTAAATAACGAATAAGATAATTAATTGTTCATTTATCCAATGAAAATGGTTGAGGAGATTCAAAAGAAACTTTCTAACGAATTAGAAAAATATAAAGCAGCACAGAAAGGTTAGGATTTTTACATCGTGGTATGTGCACAAATTTATTTTCTAATTTAATGTATTAATTTCATTATTTAGAGTATCAGAAAGTAATATCACAACGACAGCAATTAGATGGTCAATTAAATGAAAATAAAGTTGTAATGCAAGAATTGAAAATTTTAAAAAGCGATTCTGAGGTTTATAAACTGATGGGACCTGTACTAATCAAACAAGATCTAGAAGAATCAAGGCAGAATGTAGCTAAGAGAATAGAATATATAGAGAAGGAATTAAATAGAATGAACGGTGTTATTACAGGTAATAATTGAATGTGCTATTTGGCCTGTGATCAAAAAACGAATTCTGGCTGTTTTTAATATTTTTTTGATAACTCTACACTATATACTATATTTTTATGAATTCTGAATCAAATTTTACAATTATGTTATTCAAAATAATCATTTATGTGTTTTATTTTATAACTGTATAAACAGATGTGATCACAATTAGATCTATTACATTTTTCTTTATGTTGACTAGATTCAATATTTTTATCTCAAGAATATGAATTTTTATTTGTCCATCCCAAAAACTAAGCTCGGTTTAAACTGTTTGCTCTCAGTTTATTATAGCAACTTCTTACATTGATCTAATTCTGGGTTTTCTCTTCGAGGTTAATCAAACATTTTAAACTTCAGGAAAAGTGATAACTATACACCTCTTGCAGAAATATTTTTTTAAATAAAACATTTTTTTTGCTGGTAATATCTTTTAACATTTTTTAAAAACATTGTGGAACTTTCAGCATGGCTTCCTATTCCATGTCATTTTAGTTAAATATTTAAAGAATTTACTTTTATAAAGTTGCTGATTTTTCTCATGATTTGTATAATATTTTCATACATCAATTTTTATATTTATTGCAGATCTGGATAAGAAACAGGATAAACACCGTGATGCTTTGCAGAAGCTTCAACACCAGTTTCAGCAAGCACAAGTAAAAGCAGCAATGAAAGCATAAGAGTGAAATAATATTACAAAATTATAATAATTAGTATTTTGATCCCTTGAGATGTTACATTGTTAAGATTTCATTCATTTTATCACTCATTATTTAATTGAAAATGCAATTTATAATATTAAATATAATCTTTATTAAATTTGATATGAAATGAACTGGCAATGTTTTATATCAATTGAATTACCTTATCATTGAAAGAACTTACTTAAAATATAATAAATTTTTAACAAATCCGCTTTAGCGGCATGCATTGAATATGCCATAATACAAACAAAACAATTTTTTTTTTAAATTTTTGATTGTGTTTCTCATTGTTTTATGTATGTACAATATAAATGTATTTAAATATATAATAACATGTTATGATAACATGAGTACGTATTTGTTAGATTTAATAACAATTTTTGGTTAGTGTGCGATGTGCAACTTCTTATTAAGAACTTATTTTATTCATTAAGAAGACAAGTTCTAACAATTGCCTCAACAACAGAATAGGGATCGCAATTGGAGCTTGGTCTGCGATCTTCAAAATAGCCTTTCTTATCCTCTGCAACTCCACGTGGTATGCGAATGCTGGCACCCCGATTTGCAACACCTAAAAGAAATATTGTTCAATATATGCTCAAAAACTTACATATAATGACGTGCCAAGACCATGAAATATGGAAAATGAACTTACCAGCACTGAAATCATGGATGGAACTGGTTTCATGGCGACCTGTCAGTCTACGTTCATTGTCACGTCCTCCTTTAGGATCATAGGCTTGGATGTGTCTCAAGTGGCATTTTGAAAGCTTGTCAATGGCTTTTTCGATTTCACTGAGGAGATAAATATTTTATTACTTAAACAATAATAATCTATTTAATGCTATTTATGTTTGCGCATACATTATTCCATTTTCTTCTCTCATCTTTTTGGTGCTAACATTTGTATGAGCTCCTGCTCCATTCCAATCTCCCGGCATTGGTTTTGGATCCAGGGTTGCTACCACACCAAACTCTTCAGCTATTCTATGAAGCAGATATCGGGCCACCCACAGTTCATCCCCGATGCTAACACCTTCACAAGGACCTACTTGGAATTCCCATTGAGCTGGCATTACTTCAGCATTGGTACCAGAAATGCGAATTCCAGCATACAGGCAAGCTCTGGAAAAAAGATAATATTAAACAAATTGTCTAATGGGATGTTATTAATTTTATTACCTATAGTGAGCTTCAACGATATCTCTAGCGTAAACTTTGTCAGCGCCGACGCCGCAATAATAAGGTCCTTGGGGTCCTGGATAACCGTTTTTAGGCCACCCAAGGGGGCGTAAGTCTACATCTAATAAAGTGTATTCTTGTTCTATACCGAACCAAGGTTCTTCGTCAGGACAACGGTTGACTGCTTCCAGACATGAGTGCCTTTTGTTTGAATCTGAATTATACATATTTATATATCACTGTCTAATATTTATTTTTTTTATAAGAAATCTTTTATATTGAGATTTAAAAAGAACTTAATAGCTTATCGAAGTGAAGTTGTTTCTTAATATTAGGATCGAACGCGTCGGAAATGTTTAATGCTTATAATCATCCATGGAAATATTAAAATCCTAATAAATATTAAAGCAAAATTTAAGTCTATATAAATAAACTACCAAATTATTTTTCTTCAAAATGCCTTATAAATTTTAAAATGTTTTTTTGAAAAAACTTTTTTTGTATACATTAATTTTGTTGCAATGTTGGCAACACTGCTCCGTGCCTACACCCCTGATGTCTGTTCGTTGAACTGTCATTCATTAATTTTTATTGCAAAGAGTAGCACGTAATATAACATTGTTAATATTAATAACGATTAATTTCTTTTTATTTATTTGTTGTTACTTAATGTGTTAGTAATTTTTTAGTTAAAATTTGTAGTGGTGAGATGCAGCTACTAACTTTTTCAAAGATTTTATTTAATTAATAATTGTGCAAAACCATGCAGAAAAATGTTAAGGAATGGGTGAGTGCATATGCATTTTATATATATTCTTGTCAAAATTAATATTTGCACGTTTACTGTTATTCATTTTTTGCTGTTTGATATGAAAATACTATAAAACCCAAATATTTTTTTGCTTTTAACATTACGACTTGAATAAGGACTAATTGTAAGTGATGTCAATATTGCTTACTTATGACTATTGTAAATTGCTAGTTTTGTATCATTAAATCTCAATTTCTTCAATCATTTACATACCGGTGGGTTTATGATTATATTTATACGTATCGCATAAAACTAAGATATTGTTTCCTCTACGGAAGGGGTCCTTGTAAATCGCGACTGGGTGCAGGTAAGTGTCCGAGTTGCTACCTAAGGCTTGGTACGTAGAACTCCCGTCGTAGTTCCAAATTGGAAGATCTGAAAATAATGTTTATATAAATTTCATAAAAAGCAGATATCTGCTAAGCTTTCCGTTGCAATCGTACAAAATATCAGGTTTTCGATTTTTACTGCTTTTTCAATGGGGTTGTTTTTCTCTCCATATAGGGTAAAGTTGCACAAGTAATAATCAGTGACTGCCAAAGTTGCCAAACCCGGGCTATATTTTGTTCGATAAATAATTCATAAATTACATCTTCTAGTACCATTAAATAAAACTACATATTTAGTTGAGTAAACAAACGTTTATAGTTGAACGTTGGAAGGATGGAACCATATGGTCCAGAAGGATGAAACCAGAAAATTAAGAAAATGCTTTTTGTGAAGTTTACTAATATTTTGAAGTTGTGGGTCTCTTATGGCAATAATATAATTTTAGAATTTTTTCCTTAATCATATTTAAATGGTAAACTTTTCTTTCTAAGTTTATGGTTGTAGTTTTAATTTTAAACTTCAAACATCTTGTTGCTTCAATCATACCTGCGCAAAATTTCTTGTTGATACCTGCGCAAAATTTCTTGTTTTCATGAGCGTGTTAGAGAGTTTTTTGATAAGTTTGAAAAAATAATGAATAAATACAATTTTTCTCAAAATTGTTTTTGCTCAAAATTGAAATACCGATTAGGTCAGTCATGTGCCACGGAATTAGGTGCATCCAATAAGAATACTTATGTTCCAATTGGAAACCAATAGCAAAAGAAAAATTGATCTCTTCAGGCTGAATTTTATATGGTTGTTTATTAGTAGGTACGGCTAAGGCCATTATGCACCTTAATAACACCTTCTGCATATTTTTGAAAAACGTAAAAATACCTAATTTTATTAATTTCAGCCATTGTTAATAATTATAATGCCAATAGGCAACTAAATAAAAATTTAGAAAATGCTAAAAATTTTACATTACAATATTACAGAATTATTTCCTTAAGTGGTACAACCTATCATGGACATTGAAATTTCAATAATAAGGACTAATACTTTTTTCTGGTTAGAACATATTTTTGATATGGGTACAAAATTCACAGATTCATAAATATGTATGATTCTGATTTATTTCATCACCTTCATCACATCACATGTTGGATTCAGTATATTATACATGACATGATATGGATATAAAGAATTAATTCATAATTTTGAAATGGAAGCTTGGAATTGGAATTGATCCTGGTGGTTTTGGTAACTTTTGCCCACGTTCTGGCTTCAGTTAAATTTCATAATTTAACTAACCTTTAGGACAAGTTGGAATAAAGTCCAACGTTCGATCCTTAGCTCGAACATTTTCTCCAGTACCATCAATCCATATGTAAGTTGCTTGGACTTTGTTTTCGGGTATAGGCAGGTCCATATACTTATCAAGTAAGGTTTTGTTTAAAGCCGCATTCGGTGAGTGTTCTAATGTATGGTTCGGCATCTGAAATTAAACCAAAATTATAATACAAAATTAAAGAAATTATAACTTTATTACAAAAGTTTTTGTACCCTAAAGATTTCTATACCTTACTTGATACGTTGCTAAAACATTTTTCTAATAATTATCTCTTTATTAAAACTTTCGAAAGCTTTTATACATTATCCTTTATCATAATTTTAATTAAAAATACAAAGCTTTTTTCATTTTCTTCAACATTTTCCCGAGCTACGCTTATAGGAATCATATGTATGTATATGACTTCCGCAATTGACAGACTTCTTCATTCCGTTGCGACTTTCTCATAGTGTTTTTCAATCCCATCATGTATTGTAAGGAAACTGATAACTATATCAGACACCATCAAACTTTTTTGGAAAACAATTATATAGAAAATATTGGAAATTTTAATGCTTCAATTGACCTCATCTGTTTAATAAATTTTTGCATTTGATGCAAGACGAGTGGGATAGACCTATTAAAAATTACTGTGCCATATACATATTTGATTCTGTTTCTTTTTGGAAAACGTTTCATATAATCATAGCTGGGCACCGTTAATCAAATAGTTAACTTCGTTAATCGTTAATCCGCTACAAAAAAAGTTAACTTCGTTAAACGTTAAAGCGTTACATTTCGGAAGAATTAACGCAAGTTAACGTTAATCGTTAATCCGTTAATATGTGTAAAATTACATTTTTATATCGTTGCGTTAGTGAACTTAAAAAACTTATTAACTTCCCGTAGGGCAAGTTATAGTAATCGCAAAAAAATTGAAAATGAAAATTTTTATATATCTTTACGTTTCAAAGGTTCCTGAACATTTTGGCATACCTTAGAAAAAATGGGTGTGTGTGTGTGTGTGTATGTATGTATGTATGTACGTGTGTGTATGTATGTGCGGATACAAATTTTCGTCGACGATTTCGGGAACACGGATCAACCGATTTGAATAATTCAAGAAACATTCGATTTGTATTGATAAGGAGACGTGCTGATTAGTTTTTGGCGAAGGCAGGTCTAGCCGTTCCGAAGATACGGGACAAAAAGTGCCGAAAACGGTAACTCAGTTTTTAAGAGAACAAGATAAGGAATCGATAAAATTTTCATGAAGGTAGGTCTAGCGGTTTCGGAGATATGGAGAAAAAAGTAAAAAAATGGGCCATTTGGCGGTCAAAAATGATCATTAGACATATGCACATCAAATTATCAGATATTTTATAGAGATTTTAACAATAAGTATACATTTTGTTAACATTCCTATGGGTTCCGTACCAATGCTTATGCGTTAGACAGCGACGCGGCGCTTTATATTTTGTCCCTATACAGTTAAAGCAGTACGATTGCTTTGAAAAAAAGTTCAGATCTTCCACAATATGTCAAAATAAAGAAAAACTAGCTGTAAGTGGAATTCTGTCTTGAGGCAATTATGGCATCGTGCCTTAAGGCAAATTGCTGGAACTTCCCGTACCGTAACGAAATGTTCCAGGAATACTGAATGTTTTCAAATAGATTATTATAAATATTGTAACATTGTCTAATATTTGAGAATTATATAAACTGAATTGCAGAGTTGAAATTATTTGAAAAGTATATTAGAACTATACTCAGAATTAAAAATCTGAAATATTTTCGATATACAAAAAACTAAAAAAAAAAAAAAAAGAAATTGGAACAAATTTTTTTTTTCCAAAATCAATTATTTTGTTAAGATAAGCAAAAAGTTCTTTGAATCATTTAAATCGGACGCTTAGTTCTCTCAAAAACTGCCATTTATTACATATTTTGCTCCGTATCTTCGATATGGCTACGCTTGCCTTTGCCAAAAACTAATAAGCACTTCTCCCAATCATTACTAATTGAATGTTTTTTAGATCATTCAAATCGGATACTCCGTTCTCTCAAAAATTCGATTTTAATTTTCTGCACTCTTTGCTCCGTATCTCCGAAACGGCTGGACCTGCCTTTGCCAAAAACTAATCAGCTCTTTTCCCAATCAATAGGAATCGAATGTTTTTTGAACCATTCAAATCGGTTGATCCGTGCGCCCTAAAACGTGACTGGAAATTTGTATCCATACATACATACACACACACACACACACACACACATCCATTTTTTCTGAGGTATGCCAAAACGTTCAGAAACCTTCAAAACGTCGAGAAATGTTAAAATTTTCAATTCCGATTTTCGGCCCATTACAATAACTTACCCTACGGGAAGTTAAAAATATTTTTTTTCAAAAAAAAAAAAAAAATTAAAAAAAAATCTTTTATTTTTTAAATTTTTTTTTCAAAAAAAAAGTTATTTTTTGTCCAATTTATAGTTTCTCAAAAATCTTATTCTTTCAAAGTAATTTTTTTTCAAAAATGTTAATCGTTTTAAAAAAAATAATAATTTTTGGTACGGGAAGTTCCAGCAATTTGCCTTAAGGCACGATGCCTTGATTGCCTTAAGACAGAATTCCACTTACAGCTAGTTCTTTAAAGAGTTTGTAGCTCTTTGGTTTTTCTATAGACTGAGTGACAGAATTGAAAAAGTCTTCCTCCTCGTCATCATCGTTGTTACTCGCATTGCTCCCTCCGCCACTTAAACTATCTCTGTCCTTCGAATTTTTCGCTGCTTCTTGCCATAAGGCATCTTCTACCTTTTTTCCGTGCATTTTCTTACTGCATCCTCTCTACTGCTGTCATACGTTTCCAGCCACATTAACCGAAACTTTGGGTGAAATGCCGCGGCAAGTTGGCACTGTTCATCATTCAGGAGTAGTCCAAATCTTTTCTCTATGCCGTTTAATAAGGCATTGGCTAAAGCTGTGCCGTGCGGTAAATAGTAGGCATTGGATTAACGATTAACGGACTTCTCGCATTTTAACGGAAGTTAACGTGTCCGTTAACATTTTTAAAAGTTAACTTAAAAGTTAATCCGTTAATCAAAATGTTAACTTCGTTAATTAACGATTAACGGATTAACGAGTTAATGCCCAGCTATGCATATAATTTTCTGGTAGTATATTTTTAGTAGTAATTTTTTTTATTTCATTGTTTGTCACAAGTAAGCAGTTCTTGGAAATTTCGGAATCATTTTGGGAATGCTTCAAATTACGTCTTATGTTCAATTGTAGTGCTTGGAAATTTATGAACTTTTTTGTAAATTTTTAATACAATTATGTAAGAAATATCCAACATTTTGAAATTTTGGACATATTGTAGAAATGCTTCAAATTAGTTCTTCTGTTCGATTGTAATGCTTGAGAATTTAGGACTTTAGGAAAATATCGAAAATTTTGGACGAATTTTTTTGAATTTTGTAGAATTGTTTCAAAGTTTTCTTCTTTTCGATTAATTTTTGCATTTGATTTGAAATAAGTAGGTATATGCATAGCCCCGTTGAAGAACTCATTAGAATAATCAATACTTTCTACGTTTTTGATTTTATTTATTACTAAAAAAAAGTTTTTCACAATATTAAATTTTTGGTTGTACTATGTCTTTCTTCACAATTGTTTTTAATATTATCGTTTGTTGCCTATAACTAGCGTTTTATGAACTTGATAAATTGGAAATTTAGCCAGTGAATTCCAAGTTAATTTTGATTTGTCATTGATGATTGATTCATGTTACATCAATCACGTTTATAAATTTCTAATAATCTATCAAATTTTATGTGTCTAACATTTGGTTCCAAAATTATCAATATAATCAATTTTGTAAATTAAATTTGCTAGAATTATACACCCAAAAAAACTTACACATCTGTATACCAGTTTTCATAAGGTTCTGGAAAAATCACACAAGCTTTTTGAGCCTTTTTCAAAATTATTTTACACATATATTTAATTATTCTTCAAAATGAACTTGATTTTATTGTGTCTTCATATAAAAACCGATGCTTGAAAACCACAGAAAACTTTAACGACCTTGTCCTCGCAACGTGGAAAACTTTATTAAAAGAAATGTCAAACATTTTATTTCACAAATTCCTTTTTTTAAATATAAATGTTTACATAGCCTATAGTATATAGTTATTTTTTTAATTATTTAAAATTCTTACCTTTCTCAAAAATTTGTACAAACATTTTCATCATTCATAATTCAACCAACGGATAATCCAATACATTAAAAAAATAGATTATATGGTTCATAAAGGTAATCTATCATTTCCACAACTATTTTAATACTATTTGTTTCATAATTAATTTTCTTTTTCTGTATTCATTCGAAAGGCTAAAAGATTTTCTTCTTTATTAATTCTATCTTGCGTCACAAATTTAATTACAATGTATGAAAAATATAACCCGATCTTCAGCTAATATGAATATATTATTGTATAATGAATGATAATAATGCATTTTATTAAACGTTCTTGATACACGTGGTAACTGGATATGGAGGTTTTCAAAACATTTATTTCATTTGAATTTTGCAAGATTTAACGTAAAATTATTGATACTTGTAATATTTAATCGAGCACGTGGAAATTGGCAGATATTGTTTTGATCGGTAATCAGAATATAATTCATTACAATATCATATTTTTGAAAATTTATTTGAAACGACCTTTTTTGCAACATGCAAGGATATGCAGTTAATCTTATTCGATTCATTAAAATCCATGATTATTTAATTTCTTATTTTATTCCCGACAGACTAAATTTTCCATATTTCTTATAACTTGCAAGGAAATAGTTAATCTTATTTGATTCAATTAAATTAGTGATCATTTTCTCTATTTCATGTTTGTCTGGATATTTTTTCTTACTGTATGATTTTTCCGGTTGCCTAAAATTGTTATTGCGGTAACAAAGAAAATGTTTTTCTTGGAACGAAAGTTTTTCACTTCAACGACTTTTATCTTTTTTTCCTTTCCTTTAACATCGATTAAGGTCACAATGTTGCACCTAAATTTCATACTTGATTTCATAGATTTTTGATATAGTGACATGGTTTTGAATCACTTTGGAAAATTTATATTTTGCACATGATTTAGCTTTCCTATTTGAT